GGAGCTGAGCCCCACCCTGGGTTTTGTTTCTGCTGGTACCCATGACCTCGCAGCATCTGTGGCTTGTTCCAAGCTCTTAAATGCTCCATGGAAAATAAATTTGTATTCGTGGCCTGGGGGATTAACATTGCATGGGGTTTTTTTCCTTAAAGTCCTCAGAGGAAAGTCAAATTATTGCAGTGAAGAGCTTGTACACCTGGAGAGCACTGAGAGTGAGGTAGAGATGGGCAGGACTGATGTTTTGTGAGGCAATCCCTGTTATTTAGCTCTGCCAAGACAGGCTGGAGTTGTGTGTGTCCAGTTTACAGGTTTTGGGCTAATCAAAGTTCAGGAGAAAGCAGTGAGAGGGAGACCAGCCTAGAAAACAGGACCTGGGAGCTTGGGAAAGGGGGAAGCTGTTTCCTCTCAAACTTTGCATCCTTGAAAGTAGATAAATCCTGCCTAGAGAGGTTTGGAGTATCCATCATATTAAGCAAAGATCTGTCACAAAAAAGCCCAGAATCCCATTGTTGGAGTGTCTGGAGCCATTGGAAGTGCCACAGTTAATGTGCTCAGCTCAGGATCAGCCCATGCACCTAAAAAAGGGACCAGGAGCGGAGAAACTTCTCTGAGCTGCTCCAGGCCTTGGAATTCTGAGTTATTTACTTGTTCAGAAAGGAGGGAGAAGCGTTGTTTTGATAAATCATCCCTCAGATTTTAGCAAGGGTTTTAGCTTCTGCTTGGCTGAGAAAGAAAACCCAGCCCAAAGGCAGGAGATATTAAATGCTGGCTATTAAACCAGGAGCTGGACTCATTCCACTGTCTTTTAAAGACTGGGACAGCCTGGAGCTTAAAACACAGCTGAGTTGAAGATGAACTGCAAAATTCTCAGTGTTTTAAAAGGGGAAAAAACCCAGCCCAGCTGCTCAGACAATGGAGACAGTTAATTTGTGTTGAGAGGAGGAACTTTGGAAGATATTGCTGAGTGTGGTCTGAGGTTTGGAGAGCGGTTTGTGTTCAGTGCTGATGATTTCCTTTCCCCGGACAGCCTCATTTGCAAGGTGTTTTAAATCTGGGAGTGACAGTGATGGAAAGATCTATGTGTACTAGATAGATGAAATAAAGGTAAGAATTATCCAATTCATTCAGAGAGCTCAGAGTGAGCACCCAAACTGTGGATTAAAAAAAAGTGGTGGGGCAAAAAAAAAAAAAAAAAAAAAAGGGCTGAAATTTTCCAACAAGATAAATCTGCCTGGGATTTCACACTCAATTATGAGATGTTCAAGTATTAGAGGTGTCTAAAATTTTCCGTCTCGCGATTCAGAGGGACTTTATCACCACGTTGCTAAATCATTTAAGCACAGCCTAATGCTGGCTAGACAAGTTCCATGCTTTTGCATAAATCAAGGCAGATTCATTAAAACCGGGGGTGCTTTCCTAACTCTCGACAGATGAAGATTTTGGCCACTGGATTTCGTGTGCAGCTGCAGGTCTGAAAGCTGCCTAATTACAGAGAGGAGCTGCTAAAGGTTCATTTTTTTTTGTGGAACTCACAAAGAATTTCCCCGCTTTGATTTATTTTCTGGATGATCTGATAAAATCTGACCACATACAGAGGAACGGGGCTATTTGGTAGCCTCGGGAAGATTGATTTTTACCTACTGCTGAAACAAATCCACCCAGGGGTGAGAGCCTGCCTGGCTTTTCATCCCTCCTGCTTCCTTCTTGTTTACCTCCTGTGTCTTGCTGGGCCCTTTCCCATCCTGTTCCTGCTGCTTCCCTCAGGTGAGATTTAATGCCACTTGTCTGTGCTTTTTGCTTGACATTAATCTTTAATATGTAAAGCAGTTTGGGGGAATTGAAGGTGTGTCTGAATCAGACCATGGAAATCCTTCATCCAGGCTTTTATGTGCTGTGAGAAACCACGAGATCCAGTGCCCTGAAACACCTCCCTTCATCCCACTGACTTGATTTCCCCCCCAAAGCATCTCCCTTTGTCTCCCTTTCTCCTCCCAACTTTTCCTGGCGAGGCAGGACCCCCCCTCAGGGCCAGAGCTCTGACTCTGCACCCCGTGTGGCACCTCTTTGTGCAGCAGAGACCACAGATCCCTGGGCCAGAAATAAACCCAGCATCCTGCTTTATCTCCTCCCCATCAGAGCTGCATTTAGGGCTGGTCCTGTGCCTCAACATTCACCACTTGCTTCGCCACCCAGAGCACGCAGTGCAGCAAACCCTTCTCCAGGCTTTAGAGGAATCCCAGGGAAGGAATTCTGCCTTTATTCAGGAACATTCTCTCGCTGCCTCCACTGGGAGAATCTGGTGCCCTTTTCACTGGTGGATTGCCCAGGCTCAGGGCATCTTGCATGGCCACGTTAAAACTCCTCCTGCCACGTGGCTTTTGGTGGATAATTCTCTCCTCTCTGCAGAGCCTCCACCTCCCCACTGTGCTCCAGCAGCAGCTTTTGTTTAGGTAATTTTCCCAAGCCATAATGATGCTGCAGCTGAAAAAAATGGAGCCTCTGGTCTGCAAGGAGCCCGTGGCACTTGGGGACTGGAAATGCAAAGCCCACTGCCACTCTCCAGGAGGCAACTGCTGGGAAAAAAAGAAGTTGTTTAGGGAAAGGATGGGAAGGAACGTGCTGTGAGTGATGTATCAGTCTTTCCACGGGCACGCATTTACCCATTATTTGCTTATCGCTGCATCTTTTGTCTCAGATCCCCTTGGAATGGAAGGGGAGCTGATGACAGCAGGAATCAGCAGCTTGGGGAAGGAACGTGGCAGTGGAGAGTCCTCTTGGCACTGTGTG